AATAATTTAAAATATTCCCAACTTGAATGATTCGATTGAACTGTTAAAACCCGATCATTTGATCATTTCATCGTTCATGTTGCGATTGTTTTCCATAGAACAGTGAAGAAATAACTCGATAGATATCCGTTGACGAAAACTTTTCTTAAACTTCTATTCCACAGAAAGAAACTCGAAAGACGAAAATGCTTTATTCCGCTAATAGTGCCATTTCTTTCGAATGGTTCGTAGTATCGCATCGTGATGCTCCACCCGTTCTAAAGTGCTCTACCCTTCTTGAATTCGTGAAATACTGAAGTTTAATAGCCTTGCATTTTCTCACATGTTATCAAACTGCTGCTTGCTCAGCGTAATTTTATTTGTCATCTTAAGAGAATAATTAACTGATAGCTCTTTGCCTCAATATCAAAGAGAGAAAGACATGAAAAATTGGTCATTTAAATGAAGAGATTATTTTGGTGTACGTGAAAGAAAGTGTAGTTACATAAATAATATACTTGCAAATTAATTTTCATTAATCATTCTCTCCAGTCCTCAGTAAGAAAATCCAATTTTATGATATGACATAATAAACTATTTTATTTACTACAAATAGCATAGTAATGCAATCAAAAAGTAAATAATATAAAATAATATCAAATAAAGCCATCAATAATAGATTTTCGTAACCTGATTCGAATTTTAATATCTCTCTTTGACAACAATTACAAGTAACACAGATAAATATGTTTTCTAACAAAAAAAAAAAAGATAAAAACACAATTTTCTCGAATGGAATTATTCTACAGAAAAAAGATGAAAATAGTCTAAAATGATCTCAAAACTCTCAGTCCAAAGTACAATTCAAATCGAATGCAAATAAAATTCAAATTTCGTCGGAAATTTGAATTGAAACTAGGCAAACGTTTAACTTTCGAGAGTCGTGTTCAGCGAAAACAAACTTGTATTTATTTTAATACATCACACGAAAAGGAACCGGATGGCAACAATAACTCTGCTTCGTCAGACCCCTTCTCGCTTGAAGGCGAGAGAATAAAAACGAAAGACAAGGAAAAGACGATATAGGAATATCGATTGAATATTAGAATCTAGGAGCGTGCAAAATCAACGGGCGTACATTAACCCCTTTGACTTGCTGAATAGGTTAATTTGAATGTTTAAATTCCGGGCCCGTTCAACTCAATTTGCGAGGACTCTGCGTCTGTTTAATTCCTTTCCTCCGCGCCGCCATCCAGACCGTACTTGCATCAACCACCACTAAGCCAGGCCAGCTGGCCTGTTAACTTCCAACACGTTACGAGCGGCCGACGTACGGAAACGTCCGACAGCCTCTCACACGGATGCTTAAACGGGCCATGTGCTTCCTATATCGTTTAACTAGGGACTGCCACCTGTGCTTTATATTGTGATCTTACATTTCATACTCCTCCCCCCTTTTAATTATCCATCTAATGAGAAGTCTAAATACTCGATACAGGGTTACATCGCAGCAGTTAGTTAGATAATTGTAATTAAAATGACCCCTTTTATATTTTGGAGGTTGGAATTTTGAACTTGATAATTAAAGAAGAATGGATAGTCTACAAGAAATTTCAAACATCTATATATATGTGCAATAAAGTATGAAAATAGATATTACAAATATTAAATAGACAAAATTTAGGAACATACAATTATAATTTCTACAATATCCGCAAGATCCGCACAAAAATTTGAAAATTTTATATAAAAGGCTGAACACATATCTCACAACAATGAGATACCAATTACAAAATGATACGACTCAAAATTCTTGTTTCTTTACAATACCACCAAATTCGTACCTAAAATGAATAATTTTTGAAAACAGATTTTCCGGGATAGCGCGAACGCAGTCCCGACTACCAAAAATTATACGTCCGAGATACCCACATTAGGGGCATTCGCAGAGGTCAGCTCAACCTAGGTGCAATGGAAGAGCCTCACCCTGGAGGAACCGCCTTTTTGATCACGGTAACCTCTACGCCAGGTAAGTATGCTTTCAGTTGGTTCTTCGACTTACTTAAACCCACGGGGTGCAACCATAACTGTGAGAAAGTATTTTCGTAGCTAGCACTACGTGGCGGTGATTTTTGGAACTAACGAATTGATTTAGTCCTAATGATCCATCAGTTTATGCTTTTGACTTTAAAATATCATTATAGATAACAAGGACAAACCTAATATCGATTGAAATCTATACGCTAGATAAAATTTGAACGCTGCAGACATAAAATCCGGTAGCCGATAGCTAACAGTCTAGTTGTTGATGAAGTTAAATTTTCATAAAGAAAAAAAAATATAAAATTTTAAGGAAGAATTAATAATGCAATCCTCTCTAGCATCATTTAATCTCAGAACTGCAAATCCAAATTTACATACTTTAAAAATATTATTTTATTTGCTAATCATTAAATCATCTAACTTTTGATTAAAGTCATTAGGATATTAGGATTTTACTACAACAATTTAGGATTTTACCCTAATCCTAATTTAGCATTTACCCTAATATTCTTTTTTCTAATTCCTCTTTTTTTTTAATTAAACTCAACATTTCAAGCAGTCGAAAACATTTAAATTTTGCTTCAACTAATTTCTTTCGAATAAATAGACAAAATTTCTTAGAAGTATATCGTATACAATTTGGCTGACTACTATTGCTGGCGCAAATACGTGAATTAATATTCAGAATGTTCATTTGAATACAGAATCATTATTAGGCGTATACACGTGCTTAGACATAACACAAAGGTAATGTTTAATCACTTTGTACGTATAATAGCACAGCAATTATAGAACATTATTACGCCGATAAGTACCTCGAATGAGATAATGATTACGCAACATGGAATATAAAAAGCAACAAATACATAACTGGAGCATATAATTTCAGAAATAGATCATACTATTTATACTTCGTACACTCGCGAATATAAACCAAGTAAGTTTAAATTGTTCAAAAAAATAATAAACGTATGATGTACAATTTGCGAAATAATAAATAAAATCTTTTTGCACCAAGCTTCTTCGAGTGAATTTTACATTTTTAATTTCTTCTTCTTTCAATGTCATACTTCTTTAGTAAACTATGCTTTAACAATAATATGATATAACTAAGTAAGTAAATATTTATATGCATATGTAAAAATAATCCTAAGAGTCGTAAAATAAAGAATAATATGAATACAGTAAAATTCACGAGAATATAAAGTATAAGGAATGATTACTGTCTTTCAAAACAGTATTCTCTATTTATGGTATTTTTTATTCGCATCGTTTAAAAGCAAGATCAATTACTGACGGTCATCAGCTACAACATTAAATAAATTCCCGAATTAATCCAAAAAATAAAAATACGTTTTACTATCAGCTGTTATTAATTAGAGAAGTATAGTTAAAGATAAATGCTAAACAAGCTTAGAATACACCTAATCTAGATGTTGCATATAACTAACACACAGTCAGTTGTGGGACTGTGTTAAATTTAATATTAACCATCAATAGAATTAATAATTCTATTAGTAATAAAAATTCAAACTACTTTACAAAGAAAAGAATTTATTCTATTCACTTATTACAAAGGATGAACGTGTGTAAAATAATAGTTCTATCATTGAATAATTTAAATAAAAAAAAGTATATTCACAATTCCAATGTGCCTTTCCATATCCAAAAAAAATCTTAAACAACTATCTTCAATTTTTCATTTCAACCCTCCAAAAGTTCCAAATTAAACTTCGTTATAAATCTGACACTTTTTTATCGTATCGTACCTTTTAAAATGTGAAGTATAATCTATAACATAGATCAGAGGAACAGACAGAACACCGATTCTTAACGCAAAGAAAAAATTACCGAACAAAGTGTTTAAACAGTTCCCCTATTTTTACAAATTAGAACCCTAAAAAATTCAGGGATAATTTATTACGTTTTTTAATAAGTTTGTCCGGGATAGCGCGAACGCAGTCCCGACTACCAAAAATTGTACGTCCGAGATACCCACATTAGGGGTATTCGCAGAGGTCAGCTCAACCGTGGTGCAATGGAAGAGCCTCACCCTGGAGGAACCGCCTTCTTGATCACGGTAACCTCTACGCCAGGTAAGTATGCTTTCAGCCGGTTCTTCGAGTTACTTAAGCCCGTATGGTTCGACCGTAGTTGCGAGAAGCCTCACACACAACTAGCACTACATAACGGCGGTTTTCGGAACTAACAGACTGATTCAACTTGGTATAATTTTCATTCAATTACTGTAATCTCAAAATGTAGTTGTAAACTCTTTTGGATTTTATATCTCAATATTTCTATAATATAAATTTATAAATCTCTACACACATGTAACAAATTTACCGTAATTTTTAGTTTTATGAATATGGAAGACTTATGTGCGAGAAACTAAGCAAATTTTTGAAATCCTCCTTCGTGACTGTAATATTAAAAGACAAAATTTAGTATTATCAATTGATTGAAAAAAAATTGTAAATGTAATTAAAAATTTGAAGTACGTATGCATCCATGAATTTAAAAAAAGGATAATTGTACGCATGTGTAGCATGCTTCCATACATTGCTAAAACTAATATTTTGTCTGTTTTTAAGCAATATTTAATTTATTAATTGTTAGTGTCATTTGATTTAACTTTACTGTTAAATAAATTTCGTAAAAAAATTATCTAAAAGCTATCTAGAGATAAATTGCAATTATAAATATATTTTATGCATATGGTAGAAATTTAAGTAATTGTTAAATTTTTACTAACATAATGTAGCAATATGGTACCAAATGTTATTACACAAGAGAAAATTAAGCACTAATTCTTCTTCCAAACTTTCTATTTAGTTCCCTTTCGTTTTTATAACTTTTAAATTTTTATTAATATTGTATGTACTCCAATACAATCAAACAAATTTTATTTTTTTGGAAGATCCTATTACAGAGATTTAAAAACAAAGCTAACTCATTTATTTTTGAAAATCAATTAACCCGGGAGAGCGCGAACGCAGTCCCAGATATCAAAAATTATACGTTCGAGACACCCACTTTAGGGGCGTTCGCAGAAGTCAGCAAACACCTTAGTGCAATGGTGAAAGCCTCTCTCTGGAGGTACCGCTTTCTTGATCACGGTAACCTCTACGTCAGGTAAGTATGATTTCCATTTATGATCCATGGTATGTGTTATAGTTACATCCCATTTTCGAAAGCGAGAACAGAAAATCGTCTACAACGTACCGTAACGACTAATTCGAGAACTAGAGTTGGAGAAGGAGAAGGAGAAACTCTCCTTCGAGACGACCCCTGTGTATTTGTACCCGCAACTACAACGTACTTTTTCAAAAAAGTATATTAAATTTTTTAATTATCTAAATATACCTTTAAAAATATCGTTTGAATAATATCACGAGCTTAATGAACATTTCTTTTGTTAAATATAAGTATTTCAAAAAATAAAAAAAATCATGTATATAATACAGACCGTATTTTTCGAAATATTTGTCACAATAGATTAAAATGAAACATCCTGCGAGATATGCTTTTCAATTTGTGTTCCTTTTGGAAAAACTGTTAGATGTATGTATGCATGTAAATGAGATCGAGCAACATGACGAAACTGATAAATCATGAAAGAATAATGTATGTATTATTCGTTTATTAATGTAGAATAATTTTTAATTTATACTGTACAAAATTCGATTTACATAGCATAGTTCACGCTAATATATATTTATGTATGTGTACATGTATTAACTATCTAGTAACATGTAATTTCTATGTTTAAAAAATATTTATTAGAAAAGAATGAACATATATTTTCATCATTGTCAGTTAAAAATATTATTTCATTTAACATCAGGCATATCAATTTAAATTATCAGAATTGATTAATTATTTAACTCGTAATGTCTTATGACGTCAGTTACTTGTCTGCTACTTATTGCACAATAAACATTGAATATTGATGTCCCAGTTTACATTGATTAAGATATGAAATTTCCAATAATCATTCGTAATCATTTATAATCAGTATACGTTTTGTTGCACATTTATTTTCAGTTTGTAAAAATATTAACGTTCAAAATATATCTCGTCATTCGTACAAAATATTGTAATTTCAAGTATAAAATTATTTGCATGTCAATGCCAACTAAATTGCGAAGAATTTACTAACCTCGTGGTCCACTCTCTTTCACCCAACGTTACGATGTTACAACATAATTTCACGAAATTCGCAAAGACCACGAACATCCTTCAACATTCGCCGTCCCGCAGTTTGTAGTAATCTGTGGATCAACAAGACACTTTGATCAGATCAAGTGTCTCAGTGATTCATTATTATTACTTACTGTTTCTATACGCAATCGCGACATATTTCTTTGTGTCATTCTCAGTGACAGTAGAAAGTCGCAATATCAGACAGCGATTGTAACACAACATATGACAAACGCTCGAGAAGGTACGATCATTGAAATCGCGATCTCGAGCGCAAATAGTACGATCGCCATCGCCGTCGCTGTCTTCTTTGTACAACAATTTCACTGTCGTATTTTCATTTCCCTCCTTTGCCTCGACAGTCACTACCTCGTCGTTGCAATGATCGCAATTACAAGTGGGCTCGTTTTCGGTGGGTGTATGAGTGTGGGTCGTGACAACTACAAGTACTAAATATATCATATTTTCACATAAACTGTATCACTGTATTTTCTGAAGCTTTGAAGCATGAACTGCTTCGTTCGTTTATTATTGTTAATTATAATAAAATATTATAGTTACGTGTTAACTATTTGTATTCCGATAAATATGGCTCGCATAATTTTATATTTTGATAAATTTATATTACTTAATAATTTTTGAATTGAATGTTGTTATTAATTAATCTTTGTTAGTTAAAAGTAATTAATAGTTTTTGTTATACTAAGCTAGTGATTATGCTTTTTGTATTTTACATTCGTATTTTTTATATCTTTTTTTGTTACGAATGACAATTTAAAAAATAAACGAGAGCAATATTAGTCGTTAATTAAAATATTAATAGCGCGTTTGTTGTATTAGTAATTATAGCTTCTATGGCACAAAAGTCATGCGTGTATTTGATACGTAAACCTACATAATATAATTGCTCTGTACGACGACAGCATGGCACGAGATCGAGTGTAAAAACTACGTGTGCAAAAACCAAAGTCACAAAATCGATCAATGAACAAGCTCGCAGACGTTGCCAGTTCAAACTGAAACTATCCGATGATTGTACCGTTGTTGTATTTGGCGTGTTGCAGTGCCGTGTCATTTTATTTCCGTCACTTTTATTCAAACGGACATTATTTCATCAACAGCGAACGTTAAAATAACATTGACTACGAAATAAATCGAATAAATTCGGTAATGAAAGAAAAAAAAAATTTCGACACATACAATGCAGTGCATACGGATAAAACGAAATTTATTATAATTTTTATTATAATATATGTATTTTTGAGCAGAAATGTAAATCTATATATATATAGATATATATATATAGATAGATATGTAAATATATATATATATAGATATAGATACTTGGAATAATGACTTGCGCAAATGTGAAAGATACATATATGAAAAACACTTGACATAAGTACGGCACTGTTTTATTGTGTACCAAATACATCGACATAGTAACCTTTGGTGTCAACGCGGCAAAAAATTCAATACATATCAGCATCGTAACAGTGACACATTTAGCCAGCTAGTAAAATTATCTTAACGTCTGACTGTTAAGCTTTTACAAAATGAAATTAATTGTAAATTGAGCAAAATTTTAATTACTATTTTATTAAATTAATATGGATCAATATGTTTACTATATTCTTTTTAAAAAATTATTAAAAACTGACTATATATTATATAAAACATTTTATATTGCAAAATTCAATTATTTTCTACTTCCACTAATATTTATATACTATTAACAATTGCCAAAAATATTTTTAGAAACCTCTATTCACATTGTTCAACAACACGAACGTGCACCGTTATTTCACTCGATTTTTTAAAAATACGTACAATCATTTCTTTCTTTTTTTAATTTTTACACTTTCAAAATTTTTCAAATACGCTTTTCTACGGTATTATCATCTTCATACGAACTGTTTGCGAGTACAAACACTCAAGCTGATATACTCATGGGTCGAAAGAAATAGAAGCAATAACACTGAGCTCTGGTCTCATTCCTACCTTGACCCGAAAAAAGAAAAATAATGAACGCTAAAGTTCCCAGTTCATTTCCATGAATTAACTGGTAAATCGTCGCGACGCGGCGTCACGTATATGCATGTTAAAATAATATCTCCTTAATGAATGCGGAATAATTTGCCGGAAGCTTTCAGCAACCAAATTAGAAGAATCAGCAGTTGTACGTTATTGCGGAGTCGAAATGTAAATGTGAAATAATGGAAAAAACTCATTACGGTCTTGTTTCTCTAACTTGTTGGTTCTAGTATCTAAATAGATGAGCAGTGAGCTAATGCGGCTAAAATATCTTATTCATGAATCACTACATTACTTTCGTATTGTATGTAAAACATGTACGTCTCTTCAAAAATGTTAATTTACATTCAGTAAATTATAAAAACATCATGAAACGTGTTTTCAAGTAATTCTAATAAATAATTCCACATCAGTGTCTGGATAATATAATAAAATAAAAAATACGCTTTCATTTTAGTTTTACTAATATTAAATATTCCATTCTAAAGCCAAAAACGCGTTAAGTACCAATTTAAAACTAAACTTTTAGATACGACTCTCCCATAGATATAAATAATTCTTTTTAATTATATTTTTATACGTATGTAAAATACTTTAAATGCCATTAATTGGATTAGGAAAAATTGACAATATGCTAAAAAAAAAAAAAAAAAGAAATTGCTAATAAGAGAATGTTTCTGATTCTTCTCTCATGTAACAAAATGATACAACGAGCCATTTAGGAAAACATTTGAAGTATTTAATAATTCTAGAGTACGTCGTGGCTTGTGACAAACCGACATTCTTTCGTTTAGGCAGGCCATTAAGCTTATGAAGGTAACAAGGTTGCTTCATGAGGGAGATAATTCAATAACAACGCCGCATACACCCATAATTATCGTAGGAAATTAAGCTCGCACCATAAGGCACAACATCTAGAAATGTCGATAAAAGTCGAAAGTTTCATTTCAGCTTGTAACTTAATGCTCGGATCTTTGAAGTTTATTGGCATAACAATAGGTATTTCGTGGCAGCTGACAATCGTATAATGTTGTGACTTATGAACTAATTTACATCTTAATCCTAGTGGCTATTGTTCGACGCTATTGTTACTCAAGAGCTCACTTGTATTTAGGGTGGCAAACTTTGAAGGGCTGTAAAAACACGTCGCCTTTACAATCGTCGATTCGCGATTCAATGGCGCAGAAAATATTTCTATTATGATAGGATCAAGGGCGATTAACTAAAAGTCGTTATAAATTTGTCGTTGCACCGGAGCAATTTATAGCGAGGGTTTTTTTAAACGACAAGGAATCAGGATGCTTATGAAAGCTTATTGAAAAACAAGTCTGTCGCTTTCTCTCTGGCTGATGATGTTTTTAATTTAATTTATTTTTGCATCAATTCGAGGGAGTACCCGTTTCCGATATGTCGTATAAAAATACACCGCCACCGTTAATTAATTTCGTCATGTTTAATCTTCTCTCCGGAATATGAAACGTTCAATTGTACAGCAATCTCTAAACGAATAGTAAGCAAGGTAGCCATCGAGCAAACGAATATTCCAATTTTCAGATGACATAGCTCGTCTTTTTCTTTTTTATTCGTTCTTTCTCGTCCGCCACTTGACTCCATTAAGCCGCTTCCAGACTCTGTCGTTCTGCCTTTACATTTTCATTTTCGATAAATTCATTATAAAGGAGTTCGAACGCAATCGATACTAGGTATCTCGTAAATATTCTTCTAATTACAGCGTTCTGTATTTCCAACTTGATTCACGTTGCGTTGCAAACAACATTTATTTATTAATTAAAAATAGAATGTTAATTGCCAACACCGAGTGAGGATCTTCCAAATTTTAACAAGTGAATATTTAACACAACAGCAAATTTTATTTTAAAATCTTTTTTTCAGAGTATCGTGTGGCTAAATAATTTTTAAAGAAGAAAGCTATTAAAATAATTGTTTGTGTAGTAAACTATTTAATTTATAAATTAAATACTATTAAATTTGTATATTTCAAATTAAAATAGGTATATTTATTTGAATGGTAAATTTATTTAAAGTTTAAAGAATCTATTTCTGATCGATTTGTTCATTTACCAGACAGGCTTTTAAAATATTCTATCGTTTTTAACGTGAATAATGCTTTGGTGCATGGGCTTCAATTATTCGACTAACATCGAATTCGAGCGAAGCTGCACAATCCTGATTAATCCCAATAACAATTTTCACGTGGCCATAATAATCAGTATGAACGCGGCTTTATGTACAACAGAAACGAAACGTGATTTCAAAAGAGGGGTATTGAAGTGATGGATAGTGTGAGGAGTGGTGATGGTAGAAAAGGGTATTGGAGGGTGAAGAGGCCATGGAAAATTGTCAATCAGTACGAACCATCTAGACTTGATTACAACTCCAGCATTGGACTTGCAGTTTGTTTCGATGTTTCAGAGATGGATGAATTTTTATGCTGAGATAGTGAAGTTCAGTTACCCTTATGTCAGTAATAAATATTTGCGGTTTTATCGTTTACCCTCTCTCAAGATCTCTCTCTTGTCGTTTTATTCTGATTCATATTGGACATATCATTCGTAATATATTTTTCAACGTATGTCGAATTTGTTCTCCGATAATTTACAAATAATGATCATTCGCGGAATATTGATTATTTTACTTGTTTCTTAATCATTCTCCTATAATATTGTGTTCGTGTTCACTAACTAATAATTGTATGTTTGTACGTTTTGATATTTCAATGGCATTTTAAAAATAGAACTGACTTTTAAAATGTGATATTAATATTGATTATTAGTTACAGTATTAATAGTTGAGTGTACAATAATTATCACTATTTTATAATAGTGACTATTATAGGTAGGTAGGTATATATTTCTCAACATTAATTTAACGCAACAATAAGTTTAAAAGCAGTTTAGGACTTTAATACTGATAGATTACTGATATTAGATAGCCTGTTTCATCTATTTTCTTATAAGATTTCGTATCATTGGTGTAAAAGGCCAACAAGTAAGATTAATGTGGCATTATTTATATACTTAGAACGTAAACAAATTAGATCTAGTCTCTGTGGTACGTTGCAAGATATAAAAGATACAGGCCAAAGGAAAAATACAGTATTGAATAAATAAGCCTTTGTAAGTAAATCATGAAGAAAATTGAAGAAAAGTCCATTGACACGTCATAGAAACATTGCTACATATAGATAGTATCAGAGATTTATATTTAACACTATTAGATCACTTACTAAATCTAATTATGAGGAATAAACATCCAAGATTTAAAAAATATAAAAAAAAATAGCATAGCTTTTGTATAAGCGATTTTACAGAAAAAAAATTGATATTGACAGAATATTATAGGCAAAAAATATAAACTTGTGAAATAAATAAAATATCTTTTATAGCGTTATGATTCTCTTTTTAAATTTCCAATATTATTTGGCAAATAACTGTTTCCTACCGATGAAATGGGTTTAGTCACAGTTTCTATGTGAATGTACGTTCATATCTATATACGTTTCTAGACAATTCTAACTCTTGATTTCACATTCAATCGACTCTCTGACTTTCAATCCCCTTTTGGTTTATTTGCGATCAAAAGAGTTTCAATCAGTGCGCTGCATGTAACAATTTCAAAGATAGACGAATACGCATATTTAGCAATATTGAAAAATCATATATTCTCTATATACTTATACTTGTACGTATACATATACTTATATTTATTATTTATAAATAATTATAATAAAAAAAACTTTGTCGTTTCGGTAATTCATAAAGTCAAATTGTCTTTCAACAAATCAACTTCAAACAAGTAACTCCATTAAGAATAATACTACAATTAAAACACGTATATTACGAAGACAAATTTGTTATAAGATCGTGACATGAGAATTTTATGTAGAAACATTTTATGTTTACGTAAATGTTGAAGGCGACATGTAACCTCAAAACTCAACTAACAAATCACTGTAACGCAACGCCCATCTATCCGAAACCAGTTACATTATGCTACTGACTGTCTTTGTTCTTTATTGTTGCAGTTACGG